GCCTGATAAAGGAAGCAGAAATTTTACTACACTGTCAAAACTTAAGGTCCTAAAGCACATTCATAAGCAATCGTGTACCACTCCTTGTTGAAGCTCAGCTGCTCTCTTTCCAAGGTTTGCCAACCGTCGACAGGGATCTATCTCCTCCTCTGGAGGTTCAGTTAGGGAAACCCTTATTGTATCACCCAGACCATCCTGCATCAATAGAAAATTTTCTTTAGAAAGTCGAGCAATACATTTATGATGATAAAGCCACACAAATGAGGAACATGTATGAGAATAGACTACCCTATCGTAGTAATTTGCTCGCATAAACACAATTTAACTTTTAAAATTCCAAATGTGATAAATCACAAGTACGTATTTTCTGTCGCTTGAGAACCCGCTCCGATTGAGCAGATTATAGCTTTTAGCTTAATTACGTCTTCTGATTATCATAATTTAACAAATATATTCTTGCTTTGTTTCATTTTCTGACAGTAAATACTAAATACCATATTGCTTGAATGAATGAATATGTATCAGCGAGTACAAAATATCTGGTATATCTAGAGAACTTGTATAAATGAAGTTGGAAGCAAAAGGAATAAAGATGTTACTTTCAACAAGATGCTCAGCTTTTACTGTTATTTATCCGGAAGTCTAAAAGTGTACCTGAAGAAGTGTGCCAATACCGATTGCAGACTTCATCCTTCCGTCCTCACCTTCACCAGCTTCAGTAACTCCCAAGTGTAAAGGATAATCCCATCCTTGAACATACATCTCAGCTACAAGAAGGCGATACGCCTGAACCATAACTACTGGATTGCTAGCTTTCATTGAGAAGACGAAATTGTGGAAGTCCAACTTTCGACAAATTCTTGCAAACTCAAATGCTGATTCAACCTGTTACCACATTTAGATGATACAAAGTAATTAAAGAATACAACAACAATGACTAGAACACAATATTCTAGATAAGTAATTCAGCTACTGCTCACCATTCCCCTAGGTGAGTCCCCATAATAGCTCATAATTCGATCTGAAAGGCTCCCGTGGTTAGTTCCAATACGTATTGCACGTCCGTACTTTTTACATTTTTCCACCAATGGTGTAAAAACCTGAGCCATTTCAAATCAAAAATGGATTGAACTCTGCAAAGAAGTAGATTGTCCAAGAATATGCTCCGTAATAAAAGGGAAAATTTCTTGCTAAATGCGAATAATGAGCAGGCACAGTTTCCAATATAGGATGATTATANACTAAACTTGCTTGGCTTAAAATTTTCATGCTCATTGAAGAAGTAATGAAGTTCTATATATACCAGACTCAAAGATTTCAGAATTAGACGGAAAGTAAAACACTATTCCAGTGACTGATTCAAATCAAACCTAGACCATTAACTTACTATTGCACAAGAATATTATTACCTTATGATACCCAGAGAAGGAAACTCAACTTCAATAAGCATTAACATAAATATCATAGCAAACACAGTTAGAGTAGACTGCCACTTGTAANGCAGCATATTGCACGCATTTTTATTTTTTGACAAGCAGTGAATGAAAAGGATCTTATAATTAAATCAATATGATTCATACCTTATAGGGCAAAAGAAAGGTGAAAATCAACTGAAAATAACTACTCCCTCCGTTTCATTTTATGTGTCTTAGTNTTGAATTCTGATTGGATGTTGGCTACCAAGGGCAACGTTCCCAACCATCACTGTGCAGGTCTTTCTTCTGACAGTTTTGTGTATGGATTCACAATACTTTTGCCTAGGAACTTTATCAAGAAGTGATACATCAGTCATCAGAGTGTGAATACAACAAATGTGTTACTTCACTTCTAATATAAAGTGAATTTTTTTTGTAGGATGACAAAATAAAAAGAAAAAAGATCTCAAATTTCCAAATCTAAATTTCCTACAAGTAGCATCAATGACAGATTCTTGGCCACAGTATGATTCACTCGTCGAACATCTAAGAGAAGTTGCTGCAAACTTATTCCAAATCAGTTTTTATGACACGTTCCAACCCTTAACGATTTGTACAATATTAAATAATCTCTCCTTTGTTTTTTCTTCGAGTAGTTTTGCAGCTTCATAAAACAGATTCAAATCCTTGAAAGCTAAAATTTATTATAGACCAAGTTCCAAACTGTTTAAGAATAAAGCAACTAGAAGCTTTCTAGTGCCTTACAAAAATACCTAGTAGTGGACTCCCTTCGGACGCAGGCTGAAGTTCAATGGTTTCTGGACCAGGATTTGCATTTCTTATCACAGAAACCTTGGTTCGCCGAAACATAACCCTCTGTAAGTCAGAAACTCTTACAAAGTCCATACTTTTAGCAAACCCCACACCATTTTCCCTGCTCTTCAGGCCTGTAAATGAAGCTGGAACAGCTCCTGCCGCCATTTTTATAATTCTTTACACTCCTGAAACATAAGACAACCAATACTCGTCGAATTACATTAAATGCCACACACAAAACAAACAAAAAAACATAACTACCACTACTATGCCTCAATTCCAAATTAGTTGGAGTTGGCTGTATAACACCTCAATATTCATTAAAATTCAGTTGGCCAGCAGAAAAGAGCCACCCNTAGTAATTTAAACTATTTAACCAAATTCCCAAACACAATCAACAGAAAACTGTAATAGAAAAAGAAACAAACCAAGATATGAACTACCCAATTCAAACAAACTCAGCTGAAAATACAAACTACAAACACTTACTATGAATATAATCAGCTAACTAATTTACAAAAGATTGAATTTTTTTTCAAGAATAGTAGTATTACAGATTACTTACCAAGTCAGAGTTAAAAAAACCAAGACTAGACTAAAATACCCAAAAAGAGTAGAAGAATCAAGAAGCCAAAGAATTGGTGGTAGGCGGAAATTGAGAAGGACTAATAATGAAATGGGTTTCAGAAAAAATGGGAGAAAAGATTGAACATATAAATGTACTAGTAGTTCAGAAGATTAGGCAACAGCTAGTAAATTGTGAATAAAGACTAAGAAACATTTGTCCAGCATCTTTTGTACTGCTATTTTATTTGTGGCCATAGGGATACTAGTAAATTTAGCCCGGCGCACGGGCCTAATAACATTATGCTAATGATATTTTTTTTTGTTATTTTTCACATGGTATGATAACGTACCCGCATAATTAGTAGAAAAAAATTAGTAATTTTTACATTCCTATTCCATATAGTAAATTATATTACCCTCAATATTTAAGGTTTGATTTAATTACATTTAGTATACCTAATTATCAATTCTATACCATAATGTGTTTTAACTGTACAATTAATGTACCGTCACTTATTAATTAACGTTACGGTATATTCCTCCAAATCCACACCCCCACGTTTCTCTCTCCCAAACTCACACCCACACCCACGTATCTCCCCACACCCACGTTTCAAAACCATTATTCCCTCTGCTAAAACCAGAAAAACATATGTTGTTCCTTCCATTAACGTCCAATTTCAAGCTTTTTTCTTCTAAAACCAGTCAAAATTGAAATCAAATCTTCAAAGTTCATACACACATTTACCTTCAGCTTCAAATTTTCTCAATAAAGAAGAACAAACCTTCAAAGAGACAAGAGAGCAGCAATTCCACTATTGACAGCCATTAAAAAGCTTTGAAACTTTGAATTCAAATTTGGATTTTCAAAAATCATTATTTTTTTTGATTGGGTGTTGTTGTAAATAATTGGGAATATGTTTTGGAGTTTATATCTCAATTTTGAGGAGTTTTGGTGAAGATTTAGACTTGGTTTTGGCTGAATTTCATATTGAAACTCGTCGAAGAAGAAGAAGAAGAAGAAGACATGACATACATTATATTGCAGCAATTGTAGATAAATTGTAGAAAAATTATAGACTGTTTTTTGCAGAAGTTTTGTAGAAGTTTTAGTCATTTTTATTTGTGTAAACAGAAAACAAAGCATATACAACCAGAATACAGTCTACAAAATATCTACAAACTGGATATATTAAATTTTAATATCCCAATTCCCATTCGATTGTAGTTTAATTGGGATTTTCGACATAATTGCGTTTTTTCAGAAGATTTGTAGAAGTTTTAGCCGTTTTTATTTGTGAAAACGAAAATAAAGCATCTACAATCAGAATACAAATAATCTACAAAATATCTACAAACTGAGTACATATTTGGAATCGACATACTTCCCCTGAAATGTATGTTTCACATTTTTTATACATATTTCCACTTTAATACAATTTTTATACAATGTTGTTCAACTTTCATACAATAGGTAAATAAATAAAAGATAAATAAATAAACAACTGTCTACATACAATTTATCTATAATTTTTCTACAATTTCTGCAATATGTCTTCTTCTTCTTCTTCTTCTTCGAGTTTCAATCTGAAATTCAGTCAAAACCAAGTCTAATATTCACCAAAACCCCTCAAAATTGAGATATAAACTCCAAACCATATTCCCGATTATTTTCAACAACACCCAATCCAAACAAATAATGATTTTTGAAAACCCAAATTTGAATTCAAAGCTTTCAAGTTTTTCAATGGCTGTCAAAAGTGAAATTGTTGCTCTCTTTTCACTTGCTTTGTATTATTAAAATTTGCGATTGAGAGATAGAGAGAGATGTAGAGAGAATTTCTGGAAACAGAGTGTATCGCAAAAACAGAGTACGAAAAATCTTGTTCTGCGTTGTGGAAGATCAGAGTGAAGCCGACGATAATTATGGAATGTGCGTGATTTGCGTTGGGGAAGATCTGGAAAATATTTAATTCCCCTTTTTTAGCGCGCAAAATAAGGAATCATAAAGCTATAGTGATTCCTTATTTAATGCATTCTATATATTAGGTAGAAATACTATTATCATGAAGGGTAATAAGCAAACTAGAAACATATTTGATAATATAGTTTCATATATGGTATATATACGAAAAAGCCTCAAAAAATTATAGTTATAAATATTGATACAATATGTAACCAATAAAGGTATATCACAACATTAATGTGTATATCAAAATGTCTCTCACAACTTTATTTTCCTTCTTTACGTATATCAAAGTTTTATTTTATTTCTTTGTATATCTGAAATATAATAGGTATAGTGTATATATATATATATATATATATATATATATACACACTATATCGTGTGTATAATACATAAAATAATGTGTACATTAAAATAACAAATTGGATATCATAATTTTCTTTTTCTTTTTTGTATAACAAAATGTATATAAAAAATTTATTTTCTCCCAGGATTATATTTATTATTTTTATATTAAAATTTCTCTAAACATGTTATATCAAAAAAAAAATCCTTCTTCGTATATCAAAATTTTATTTTACTCCCATAATTATATTTGTTATTTTTATATTTTAGAATTTGCTCTAAACCTGTTATAGTTGATATAGTGAAAAATAAAAAAATAAAAACAGAAGAGAATACGTATGCTAAGCTACTTAAACAAAAAATTTAATGAAAATGAAACCTAATTTCTAGGAACATGGCGACAACCGCTAGAACAGAGAAGAGAGACATAGGGTTCTAAATATTTTTTGCTATAATTAAGGAAAAATAATTTTGGATATTGAGTGTCAATCTTTTTAGCCTTATGTTGTAAAATCTAATGAAAGGCTAAAAACTTGTCAATTCTCTTTATGCATTGTCATGCCATGCTATTTTTTCTTCTTTTTTTTGGCTGTGAAAGAACTCGTATCAGAGTTCATGTCCAAAGAATCGTAAAGTTAATTTTAATTTTCATAGGCCCAACTTACCTGAAAACTTAAAATTGAAATGGAGTTTTCTTTAGGATAATATTGCATTAATTAGCATGAGCAAATGCTCAGCTTAACTTATACGTGTTAACAATATGAATTATTACTTAGAACGTCATGATTTTTACTTACAATGTCAAGTTAATTAAAAATAGTAGTGCATAAGTTCTTAGGTAACTCTATCTACGGTCTAAAATAAGTACCACTTAAAATTTTTACACGCCCATTAAGAAAATCATTTAGTATTAATAATATAAGAGTTACCTAACTTATTTTTTGTTACATCTTCTTAAATTACTCTTTATATACTCTCATAAAATTGAAATGGAGCTCTTTTTATGATAATGATGCATTAATTAGCATGAGTAAATGTTCAGCTTAACTTATTCATGTTAACAATATAAATTCGTATTTATAACATCACGATTTTACTTACAATATCAAGTTAATTAAAATAGGAATACACATATAGTTAGATAACGCTATCTCATCTAAAATCGGCCAGTGTCATTTAAAATTTCTGCACACTCATTAACAAAATCATTTAGTATCAATAATGAAAGATTTATTTAATAATTTTATGTTATATCTTCTCAAGTTACTCTTTATATATTCTCATATTTTATAGATTATTTATTGGATTAAGGATAGATTTGAAAAAATATTATAAATTCGTTCTTGCTTTTTCAAACAAACATTTATTTTTGCCAAATTAATTAAGCTGAAATGACACTTATTCTCTACAAAAGAAGTTCATAGCTATTTTGAATATGAATAAGGAAAATAATATCTTTAAGTTACATGGGCTACATTCTTTCCCCTTTTTTTGTTTATGTAAATTTATGCAAATATGGAACAACATATATATTTGTTAAAAGAATACATACTCAAATAAAATAGTCATCAAATTTTTTAAGGTTTTGAGAGTGCTTTTGAGAAGTTTACATAATACTTTTCAGAAAGCTCCTTTTTATTTGTTAACCAAATACGAATCCTTAATTTTTTTATTTTTTTTTAAACTTATCCAAACAATGGCAGGGAGTAAAAAGCAGCCTCAGTATTACTCAAAAATTTGATGTATGTAATACATCATTGATCAATTTTATTTTGATTTAATGATGCTTAAAATATAACCAAGAACCACTTTATGACTTTTCAATTGCCATGGAAGCAACACCAGAAGTTAAGAACGTAAATTTTTACTAAATTTTAAAACAAAAGAAGGAGACAATTGTATTTTTAATTTTATATATATTTATTTTCATAATTTGCTTAATTTTTTTATAAAAAGTTTTATATTCAAGAACTACGTTTGTTATAGAAAGATCACCATTAAATTAGGAGTGTTCAATATTCCTAACAGAAAAGATAAGTAGCAAAAATCGTTTATTTTTATTTTTTATTCATTAAAATTTGATATTGCATTTCAATCATATGTCAAATGAACATGCAATTTTTTTCTACTTTAATCGGGCTTTTTACTGAATATATATGCGTGTAATTTTTTTGAAGCCAAATTGAGCGGGTGGATTTTATTTATTTTCTAACAAATAAAATGTTGACTTTCAAAATTATAAATGAACCTTGATTAAGAAATCAATTTTTCCTATTTAAAAAGAAAGCAAGCAATAGCACTTTTAAATTTCTAGGTAAACAATTATTGCTTCTATTTGGGTATATAGGCAAATTGAGTTGGTATATGAAATAAGGGAATGTTGTGGGCCAGTATAGTCAGAGAAGTGATAACGTCAAAAGAAGGCTGCGTATGAACGTGTAAACAAGGAAATTGAAGTGGGCCCACTGGTGTAATGATGTATTAAAGCTGCAATAACTCATCTCAAACCAGAAGGGTATAGTAGTCAACACGGAAAAGGGTTGTGCTGTAGTATATATATGAAGACTTTAGGTACAACAGCAGAGAAGCACAGATATTGCAAATTATCAAATATACCCTTGTGATGAAACAGACATGTTGACCGAGAGCTCTCTGCTATTCCCTCTTATAAGAAGTAGGAATAGGAATACACTTAAATGAAAATTTAGTGGCCATATTAAATTAAATTACTTGTTATAAATGAGATGAATGCATGTGAGTGAGGTGAATGTATTTGTATGTCCATTTAACGTATTTTGTATTCATGTACTCAATTAAGAAGTACATTAACTTATAACTTGTGAATGAATTTATACCTTTATAAATAGGAAACTTTTGACCTTATGTAGGATATACCAAGAAAAGAAATAACAAA